CTCTCCTCTCCTCTCCTCTCCTCTTTTTGTTTTCTCTTTTAAATTTATTTTTCTACTCTCTTTTTCTCTTTAACTTTTCTCATTACCCTTGCATCTTACCTCCTACACACCCCACTTTTCTTTTCTATTCTGACTTTCTCAAGGATAAAACTCAGACTCCAGAAAGAAGGCTGGTGAGACTAAAGAAACTAATAATCATAGGGGAGATGTGGTATGCAGGTTATGTTATGAGAATTGTAATCAAAACCATAAAACAAAAAGTATATGCATGGCTAGATGAGTGAGGCTGAATATGTTTCATGTTGTTGCATATTGTAAAGTTGGAACCGACCCATAGTAGACTCTCCAGAGAGTTTTCAGAGACAGTTAATCACATGGGAAGAGATTTCCCATTCTTCTCCCGCAGAGCAGCTGATGACCTCGAACCTCATACCTGCAGGACTGCAGTGCAGCTTCTTGCCACTAGGCCACCAGAGCTCCCTGAATATGTTTGATAGGTGTCTCCAAACTAAAGAAGGGTGGGGGCGGGAGGGGAGTGGAGTCTGGAGATCTGCTTCTGAAAATCAACCAGTGAAAACCTTTTGCCTCACAATTATCTTGTCTGCAACCCATCATGGAGACCCAAGGCCTGAGCGCTGTTTGGTTCCGTGCGCACTGGCTAGCCAGCAGAGGCAGGTGTGCCGTTCAGCATCTATTACAGCATCTAATTTCTCATAATTATTTGAGAAACATTACAAGATCTGGATTTAAACGCTACAGAGTCCACCTCAGTCCACTTCGGCTGCTTTTCCTTGATGACTCCAACTTCCTACGCAACATGGCCCCATGTGTGGACTGATTCTGGTGTCCACTGGACCCAGCTCCACCACCTATAACACTGTGATCCTGGGAAGGTTACTTAGTCTATCTGTGTCTCATTTTTGAGATTTATCTCATAAGCACAGGAAATTTCACCTTGCGTAGTTCTTGTGTGATATAGAAGCAGTAACAATTGCAAAGTATGTGTCACGGCTACATGTTTTCCGTGTTTGTACCCATTCTTTCTTTATCCCCCAGCTCTTAGTATTTAAAAGCTTCTTTGCAAGGGTAGGATCACTGCACTCTTACAAAGGTCAGAAGATGTGATAACTAAAGAAAAGGAAGATTATTCTCTCCCATAGTATACTTGTTTAGATGAAAGAATATAAGCATTCTCCCAAAGCACTAACATCCAGCATTTGGTAAACCCTAATTCCTCCTACAGCAACATAGTGAGAGAATGAAAAGCTTCTGGTATCTTGTTTTTGGTGTTTTGCCAGGTAGCTGACTTCTTTTTAACCTAGGAATGTGGACCCAGTTATATTTGGTTGTTTACTGTGGGTAAGCTGCTTAGCAACAGGAACTGGATGTTACTTTTATATTTCTAAGACTTATGATGGAACCTGGAACTTCTTAAATGCTCAAATAAATGTATGTTGAAAAAATTTTTTTGTGAATTCAATTGTATTACAGCTATTTTATACCCAAACAGAATAATTCTGTTGTGTAGTATTTGCTGGGGCTAGATTTAGCTGGCAAGGCATGGTAACCACACTGTATACACTTACTCTTAAGGAATAACCTCAAAGGAGATGGATTAACCCAGTGACGTTAGCAGTGGGCTCACACATCAGAGGTGAGGAGGACAGCGTAGGTTAGGGCAAGGTTTCAGTTTGTTGTTTATAAGGTCACTATGAGCCGTAGTTGATTCAGTGACACTGTACAACTTATGGGAGCAGGAAACTGTCTGCATTTGCTTAGATTTAGTGTGATCATCTGCTTTTCATACCCTTACTTCCTCTTCACTTTTGTTGTCTCTTGTCTTTTTCCTTCTAGACTGTAAATTATATGAGGACAGAGTTACAACTTCTTTTGGTGTCACTGGACCTAGTTTTTTTGTGCGTCTGTAACACCAATAGTCACTATATATATAGTTATATTAGTATATGTTGTTGTTGTCAAGTTCCATCACATCATAGGGAGCTTGTAGGGACCCTATGAATGAAAGACCTGGACACTTGAGTAACTTTCATCCTTTCTCCAGGTTCATAGGGTTTCTAGAGGCAAGCTATTTCAGAAGTGAATGCCACTCCTGCTTCCAAGCTTGTTTTAATCAGGTAGCCCCACCAAACACTGTCCACCATAAGCAACCATTATCACATTTTACACATCAGTGTCACAGTGTTCAGCATCACAGCAACCACGAGTTACTTCTGTACAGCAAGTGGACAGACCAGGGCTATATGACCCATTAGTAAATATTTGTTCAATAAATTAATATGTTGATCTCTCAAGAGTACTGAAGAGCATCAGGCTGGAGACTAAGGTGTGCCTGACAAGGGCTATTGTCTTCGTAATTAAGTGCTATACATCAGAGAGTTAGACAGTGACTAGGGATGATAGAAAGAGAATTGATGCCTTTGAGCTGTGATGCTGGAGAAGAGTATTGAATACACTATGGACTGCTAGGAGAACAAATAGGTTTGTCCTGGAGGTGGTGAAACCAGGAAATCCTTGGAGGCAAGGATTCTGAAGCTATGGCAACGAGGGACTGGTCCTTGGAGAGGGATGTCATGCTTAGAAGAGTGGAGGGACAGTGCAGGAGAGGAAGACCCTTGATGAGATGGATTGATTCTGTGAGTGGAGTGGTGGGAGTGAGTGTGTCGGAGACGGTGAGGTTGGCATAGGATAGAGCAGCATTTAGGGCTTGAACATAGGGTCATTATGAGTCGCAAGCAACTCAACAGCACATAAGAACAACAACAACAACAAATTAATATGTGCCAAAGATAATTTGAAATGACGTTATTATCTTTGGATTTTTACCTGGTTTGGGAAATGAAGCTTCTTAGCTTTGTTTTGTCCTCTTCTGTTCTGATTTACATCTATCTTCTTTGGAACTTGGTTCTGTTGAGCCCACCTATGGATTTTGATGTTTTTACTTTAGTCTTTATAAATACTACATGATTTGTGGAGAAGAATTTAGCCTTAAGAATTAAATAGGCCTAGATGAAAATTCTACATCTATAGCTTATTGATCAATTGGACAAGGTATGTAAGCTCCCTGACATGTAAAGCTACATAATAGTGCCACCTCCCTGGAAAAGCTATTCTGAGAACCGAGAGGGCTGATGCATGGAAAGCAGTCACTCTCTGAGAACTGGTTGGGTTGATGCATGCAAAACAGTCACTCACGGGAGAAGTACAATAAGTAGTAGGTGTTTTTACTATCATTATTACCATTGTCTTTCTTCATTCTTTTCCTATTTACCCTGAATACATATTTTATGTTTCCCTCCATCAGAAATGTATTTTGTAATCCGAGCTGTCCTTTAGAAGCCATTAGACTTCTGAGAATTGATGGGGGGGATGAAAATTGTGAACTATCAAAACTTCTTATCTTTGAGTATCTTCTCTCATACTATCTGATATTGATAAAACCTTTAGTAAGAAGAACTATCATTTACTCTATTAAAATAATACAAGGATAAATGTGAGTTTTCAGCAGAATTCATAAAGTAAGGCAAATATTTAGAGAGTTAAATGACATGTGAAGAATCTAAGAACTTACCATATATTTTAATTTTTTAATGACCTTCAAATGCATGTCTCTCCATTTAACCATAAATTCTAAAAGTTTGTTCTCACAACAGGCCTATTAGCCCCAGTGTATTTAAGTACTATTTCACCAGTGTTTTTTCTTGAAATAATTGAGTTTTCTGGGATAAACAATTCCGTTCAATATTTTTCATCTCTCTCGAATATAAATGTATTTGATTCCTATAAATCTAAGTGAGGTCAGTCAGGAAATTATACATATTTGTTTTCCACTGGGTATATGAGCTATTAAGTCATGTTGAATTTCAAATAGATTATGTTTGCTATTTGGCAAGATAATTTGAGAGATTGAGAGCAATATATTTGAATTCATAAAAGTGGAAAACAACTAGAAAGCAGCATTGAAGAAAATAGTCATTTAAACAAATATCTCAAGTGAAATATTCTGTAGTAATTCAAATCCACTTTATATATAAAGTATATCATTCTATATTCTGTTCATTTTCATCGTTCAGTGTGTGTGTGTATTTATCTCATTTAAGTATATTATTTATATCATGAAACATTTTCATTTCAACTGCCAGTAATAAGTGCATATATACCCATTTTGTCTTCCTTCCAGCTTTAAATATGTGGATGCTTTCTTGGCTTTGTGCCATTTTAATTATACTGGTTATTGCTGATATGGATGCAATTGCAAAGACCACACCTTATACCAAGTTAACAAAGAAATTTGAGGGAAAAGAGATGGTGAAGGATCTAAAGCCATCCAGAGGCCCACCTCTGAAAGAAGAAGACACCCCTGTCACCGAACTCGCTGAAATGTCAGAACCAACCGTGGAACCATCCCCAGAGTCTGCCTCTGACACCGCCACCATCTTCCCTTTTGAAAATTTCACACTTGACACAACTGATTTCTTCGTGAATTGTTGTGACTGTTGTTCACTCCTACCAGGACAGAAAGGAGAACCTGGAGAACCTGGAAAGCTAGGTATTTGAAGATATAATGTTATTCCTCATCTGTACGTCTTTAGGATTGATGTGTGGCTTAGAGGGTAAAATCTCTAGGGATTTTTACATTGTCAAGTAAATGACAGGCCTAGATGTAGCACTGTGAAAGCCAGTGGGGGCCATTCTGTCCAGTAGGGTAACCACTAGCTACACACATTTTGTAGACGTTCAATTGGCTGCTGTATGAAAGGTGAGAGGTAAAAACCAATCAAGTGTTTTATGAAAGAAAGATGTGACAGTCTGCTTTCATAAAAAGCTGTAGTCTTGGAAAACCTATTTGGGACTTCTACACTGTCATTTATGGTGACAATTACTAGGATTCAGAATCAACTTGATGGTAATTTTTTTTTTTTACTTAGCCACTTTTGTGACTATTGATATTAAGATTTATAAAGATTGAAAACTTATTTTCTCTAAAATTCTTGCGACATTCCAAGTGTTCAATAGCCACCTGCACCCATGACGACTATATATCAGGTAGCACAAGTATACAGCATTCTTTCTGTTGCAGAAAGTTCCACTGCATAGTGCTGGGTACAGCAAGCGTGGAGGCTGCTAGTCTCAGAGCTGGGGCTGTGCAGTTCTTAAAGCTCTGCGTATTTACTACAACTACAGTCTTTTTACAAATAGCTGATTTTAAGAGGGTAAGTGAAAAATTGTGTTCTCTAATAAGAATTTGTGTTGACTGATGGATATTTGAAGTCCTATTTGTAGTTGGGATTAGGAAGGAAATGCCTGTGAGGTGGAGAATATAGACTTCCATTTGCTCCTCATTGAAATTCTGAAGCAACACTGTATTCTTGCCCTGCAAATTTCTCCATTAAAAGGCATGGTTATGCATGTCAAAATGTAAAATATCTTTAATATATACAAAATGAATGTACTCTCAGCTTTACTGTAATATATTTCAGCTTTTACATGGTGCAGGGGTTTCAAGGTAAAATAAAGATCAGGATTCTGACTGCAAATTCACTCCTTCCTGAAAATAGAATCTATGGAACTATAAAATCTATTTTTCTTTATCCCTCTTGAAAAAACATAAGAATTGTAAAAGCAATGATTCTATATCCTCATTAAGCTTTTCGCTCATTCTGTCACATCGTATGGGCCTTTAAGGACATGTGCTAAAATTCATCTAGACTTGGATTGAAAGATGAAAGTGCTGGGTAGTGGTCCTGTGCACCAATGCTTTCAGGGAGGAATTCAGAGCCTTATTGGAAATGCTAATGAGCTCAAGAAAACTACAGTTACCAGAACTTCCTTTGTTGTTGTTAAGTGCAGTCGAGTCATAGGTGACTCATAGAGACCTTATGAACAAAATACCTGAACACTTACATAACTTTCATCCTTTCTCCAGGTTCATAGGGTTTCTGGAGGCAAGCTGTTTTGGAAGTGGATGCCACTCCTGCTTCCAAACTTGTTTTAATTGTGTAGCTCCACCAAACACTGTCCACCATGGGTAACAATTCTTGCATTTGACACATCGGTGTCTCAGAGTCTGCCAGCATTTGTGGATGCTGTAATTTTAAAGTACTGACATGTTTGGCCATGCCTACAGGCTGAGGTGCAGTGCATTGTGAATCTCGGTTCAAGCTGGACCTTAGGATGGCTTCTTGTGTCTTGAGGAAGGACACATACGGAACACTTGGGGCTCTTACGGCTTTCTTTTCATCCCAAGTGAGGGTCAGCAGAGGGAATTGGGGGCCTCTGGCCCAGAGTGTGCCAGCATTTGGGCGTGCTGGAATTTTAAAACACTGTAGGGCTTGAGGGCCAAATGTTCATTGATTGTGGATGAACACTCTTTCAAGTGGTACAGCAGAGGTCTGTTTATTGGTCTACTGAAATAACATAGAGTTGCTGCAATGACAGACAACTGGGCGATAGGTGTGTCAAACACCATGATTAGTTACCCATTGTGGGCAGTTTTTATTGGAGCTCCCAGATTTATTCAGGTTTGGAAGCAGGACTGGCACCCACTTCCTAAACTACATGCCTATGGAAAGTCTAAAAACCTGGAGAAATGATAATTGATACTTACAGAAAGGCTTCAGGCCTTTGTTCATCTTCTGCTCATATATGTATCTTTCTCTTATGTGTACATGGTGCACAAATCATTAAACAAGTTAGACGCTAAGAGGAAACATATGTCATCAGAATAGAAGGAGATTGAAGAAGCACCAGAAGCCTTCCAGATGGGCGTTTTTGGGTGGTGAGAGCCAATGAATAAGCATGATAATGGAGGAATTTGGAATGAAGGAGCTTATGGAGTTTGAACCATGCTCTGGTTCTTAAATTCAGTACGGTTCTTGGGACTGTTTTTGGTTTTTGTCATTCTAGGTCAGATAGCCCTGGTCTGTCCATTTGCTGTACAGAGGTAACTCATGGTTGTTGTGATGCTAAATACTGTGACCCTGATGTGCCAATTGAAATAATGGTTACCCATGGTGGACAGTGTTTGGTGGAACTCCTCAATTAAAACAAGTTTGGAAGCAGGAGTGGCAACCACTTCCCAAAGAGCTTGCCTCCGGAAACCCTATGAACCTGGAGAACTTCCCTTAGAGGGCTCTATAACTAGTTGGAAGTTTGAAATGGGAGGGAAAATGACAAAGTTATGTCCAAAAAGCACAGCTGGTTGTTGAACTGCCTTCTCAACATGTTCTGTAACACGAGGACTTTGGTTTTAGTCAGTGATAAATTAAGCTGAGCTGTTCTCAGAAATCTGTATCTCTTCTAAATTAATGTGAGAAATATTATAAAGGGAGTTAGAGTTAGTAGCCTGTCTGGGGCACTCATTCCTTTTAGTCTGGTTCTGTTGAAGCATACAGTGCTTAAGAACCCAGGTTGCAAGTCTATCACAGTCCTGACCTACAGAAGCTTTGTTGCTTTTCCAAAGCTCAATTTCAGAATAGCTAAATGGAATGTGAATGAAAGCAATTTCATGAAGTCACCAAGAGAAGTGAGCTAGTTCATGTAAGGATTCAAAACAATACCTGATAGGGAGTAAATGCTCAGTACCTACCTTTACTTTTACAAGGAGTTTTGGTGGGTGTCTAGTTCCTTCATATGCAATATTCTGATCTGTATATGAAAAGATCTTCTTCTGAGGTCTATAGAGCTATCTTCCTTTTAGTTTTGCTGATATTTGAAAAAAATAATGTGAGCTTTTAGTTTTTAAATGACATATTCAGTACAATTTAAAAATTAAACAAATTTGAAAGAGAACAAGAAACCTACTAAATTACAACTCTTCATTTTGTCTTCGCTGTCTTTCAGTCTCTGGATATACACATGAATATATACACATGTATTACCCATGGCTACATACAAGTTTTGTGGGTTTTTAAATTTTTTTTTTTTTATTTTTGTGTGAATGTACCGTCAAATCAGATCTGACTGGTACAGGAGGAGATTGTCCCTCCTTTTCCGGGCAGAGCATCTGCAGCTCCTTGCCACTATGCCACCAGAGCTCCCCACAAGTTTAGAGTGAATGAGACTGCTTTAAAGTATGCAGGTATATCTAATAGTTGGCAAAGGAACATTTTCATTTATCAATCCATCTTTAGTTCCTCTCTTTAGTTAACTTAAAAAAACAGCTACCTACTATGTGCCAAGGCCCTGAGTGGCACAAAGAGTGAATGTGTTTGGTGCCTAACTGGAAGGTTGGAGATTTTGAGTAGCTGTAAGTCTTAGATGAGAATTGTTGAGATCCACTCTCCCAATAAATCATCTGTTGAAAACTCTGTGGAGAACGGTTTACTCTGACACACTTGGATTCACCGTGAGTAGGGATTGCCTCAAGGCAGCTTTCTGGGTCTTAGCACTCTATGAACTGTTTGACATTTAATC